GCATTGATCAAAGCCATAGAAGAAGTGCCGGATTTGAAGGCTTATTTGGGTGCATCGAGCATACTTAAGTAGTATATATTTTCATGATTTCTTCTTTTTTGTGTATGGTATTAATAGTCTATTGTTGGAAGTACTATGAACATGACTATTTTTGTAGTAAATATTTTTATGTTTAAATATATTTTTAATTTGAAATTTAGTGTGTTCATTAATTTGTTGATGACATATAATTTATTAGCAATAGGTATAAATAAAATTATGGTAATATAAAAATAATAAAAACATTTCATATGATTTAGAATTTTCCTACCAACAGTTGGAAGGAAAATAACAAAATATAATATGTGAACTTTCCGTCCAACGTTGGTCGGAATTTCCGACCAACACATGTAGTTGGACGGAAATTTCAACGTTTTAAGAATGGTGGGTTATTGTTCGGAAGTTCCGTCCATTTGTATATGTTGGACGCTATTTCCGACCAAAAATTAGAGTTGGACGAAATTTCCGACAAGCGTTTTTCCGAACGTTCAATTTGGTCGGTATGTTGGACGGAAACCTCGTTTCCGACCAATATATCGCGTTTTCCAGCAGTGAATGATATCGGTTTTTTATTAGAGAATGTGATTTTTAATTAAAGGGGTAATCAAATCCCATAGTTGTGTTTTAAAAATTTGTCAACCAAACACTAACTATGATTTTAATTTGATTCTCATTCCTAATGTGTAAATAATCCATGAACCAAAAACACCCTAAGTTCTTAGCAGCTGTGGCCTAGTCTCTTCATACTTTGGTGTGTATATATATTCTCATTTGATTAAAAAATAAAAATAAATTGGTATTTGATTGGTGCAATACACTCAGGATGGATTCAAAATTTTTTTTTGAGTGTGGACAAAATATTAAAACAAAAGAGATAGTTTGAAAAATAAAAATGAAATATAATCTTACAAGATGTTTCGTTCACAAAATAAATTTTGAATAAATAGAAATGTAATTTTATAAGGAGTGGAATATATATAAAGAATATACTAGAAATTTTATTCCACTGTTTGATTCGCTGAAAGAATTGATTTCTTAAAATATATTATTGTGTTAGATTGATTTAAGGAATAGAAATAGAATAAGTATTCAAAATAAAAAAAAAAATATTCGTTTATATATTGAAAGTTATGTGTGTGTAAATAACAACATCAACAATAATAAACCTCGCAGGGCTTAGCATTGTTGTTCGTCGCCTGACTTGAACTCACGACTGAAGGCAACATTGTGGGGTTTGAATCACATGATGATAGAAGATGTGGATTGGGTCATGTCGCGATTTATCTCTACAGTGGCCCTAGATGTGGGGTTTTATGGGTTTAGAATTGTTCCAACTAACGAAACTAGGATAACTTAAGTTTTAAATAATAATAACAACAACAATAATAATACATTGTAATAGAGTCAGAGGTACTCAAAAAAAAAAAGAAAAAAAAAGAACAACAATAATAATAATACTACTACTAATAAGTAATAATAATAAGAGTCTTTTTCCAAAATGGTCCCTCGAATATTGCTTATTCTCAATTTTACATTTCAACTTTCAATTGCACCAAATGTGGTCCTTTGACTTTCAAAAACTCACCTAATTCAGTCCTCCGTTACATATTTAATTTTTTATTTTTTAAAAAATTTGTTTAAAATTTTTAAATTTTTAAGATTTGATTATTATAAACTGTTTAATACTTTAATAGTTAATACTAAAATATTAAATATTAACCTAAAAAATATCTAGAATTTGAACAATTTAGGGTTATTTATTCGCTCAAAAGGATGTCATTTTTAGTAAAATAACCCATTTAAAAAAGAAGGGAACAATAGCTAATCGGCCGACTACACGACCTAATCGATGCCTAGGCAGCCTAATCGTACCTAAGAGGCCTAGTCGGTGCTTAGACGGTCTAGCCGGCCAACTGCCTAAATCACCAATTACAGTCATAGGCTAGGTAGCCGGCTAGCGTTTAGCACTTAGACACCGATTAATCGATACTTATGCGAGATTTTTACAACACTGGTTAAAAGTTATTGTGAAAAAAATATCAGATTTTGTTGTCATATATATATCCTTGTCATGCGTGATGACTGAAGACTCGAGTAGACAACCCCAAAACCTCGGCAGTACCAAGTATCAACGTAGTATCATCAGAAAGTTTCATCCTTCTTCCATTTGTCCAAGGTTAACAGACCCTTACCACCAACCAAGCAATCCCTTTACCCCAAAAAAACAGGGACTAGCAATTTAATGAGATATTAAGTGGCCCACTCCTCTTTTGATTAATACCAATACCAAATCAGTCAATCAACTTATTTGTGCCCGTACATTTTGGTAGATTTGATCTATCTATGCGACAAAGACACTTGAATTTTGCTTCTATTATTTTTTAGGAATTGTACAGCATCCCCATTAAGAGGATTTTGCAGAGTTTTTTAGATAATTTGAATGAGATTGAAGAAAGAGAGGGAAGAGAGAGAAGGAGAAGGATCCTCCGGCAAATGAAAGGTTTTTTCAGACTTTGTGGCTCTTGATACCATGTGAGGAAAGTAATTATACCTTTGTTGATGTAGAGTATAAGCTATATATATAGTACATAGAGGAGAGTAAACAGAAGGAAGTATTCTATAAGAACATAAATATAACAAATAATAACTGAATTAAATACTAGCCACACATAGGCTTAACAAACTCCTCATTTACAAAAAAAAAAAAAAAAATACACTATTGAGGATGCCCTAAGTTTACTAACTTAATATCCGTAATGATCTTTTAAGTAACGTATAATGAAAATAAGTTTGTTATTTGTTGGTGGTATGATTCTTTTTAATTATATTACAGTAATTTTTTGGTACTAAATAATTATATTAAATTTTAATTAAACTTTTTATATGTATTTGAAAAATTCTTAGTCACTATTCGAAGATATGCACGGGATAAATGTCGCTATTGTATAATATTCTATAGACTACATATAATAAATAAAAAATCCTGTGTGATGGATTCAATCAAGAGATTTTAGCAGTGAATTTTTTTATAAGATTTGAATTTATTTATTTTTAAATGGTGAATTTATACTTGATATGTTATCCGAATAGTTACCACTGTTGAAGCTAGCTTATGTATTCCAATTACTACATCCTATGTACTGGGGTTTCTACGGGAGTTGTTATAGTTGGACTAAAAATGTCGAACAGTTAGACTTATCTTCATGGTTTAGTTGGGAAAGTACTTCTTAATTAAAATGGTCATCAAGTAACTTCTGCGTCCAAATCTGAGTAAACCCAAACGAGGAAATGGATAATATTTCAGGGAATTTATACCTTTGATTTACACAAAAGTCCGGCACCACTATCCGAAAGTGTATTTTAGGTAAAATTCAGTAATCCTAACCAACAAATTAAAGGATTACAAAAATAAACCAATATAATGCAACTTAAGTTAGTTTTCAATTGCTGACCGACTAAAGTAATACATAGCAAATTAAGAATTGAGAGAGTAAATAAAGTGGTATAAAAGATGAGTGGAAAAAACGTGCCAAATTAAATGACATTGTCCCCATGAAAAAGAAGTAAAGATTGGCCACATACACAAATCTGTGAGCTCAACCATGACGGAAACATATAAGAGACGAGAATGGAGTTGAATCTGGGTCATCATCAATACCAAACTGAAATTTTGACAAGGATAGAAGGAATTGAAGCTTTTTTATTTTTAGAAAGAAATATGACCATAAACACTTCCCAAACTGTGCATGTAACATCATATTTCATCCTACAAAATGATTGATTATTAATATTTGATCCACCAAAAAGCTTTGTTGTTGAGACAAATATGAAATATATATTAGGAACTATTGAATTGCATTATTTTTTTTTTTTTTTTTTTAATTAAAAAAATTTTAAAATTAAAATATAAGGTTTCCATAGTTATTTCTTAGAAACTATTTACAAAAGTGGTTGTAAAATTGTTCAAAAGATTGTTGAAACCATCTAAATACATAAAAAACTAAAATTAAGAGCTAAAGAAGCATTTTTTTGAGAAATTAGTGGACCAAACCGCCTTCGGCGTTTGCGGTGTATAGATCTCGAAAAAATACGCGATTTGACAAAAAAAATTGTCCAAATCGGACAACCGAGTCAAAAGTTATGTCTTCCGAAAGTTTTTCGACATTTTCAAAAAAAAAAAAAAAAAACGTCGAACCGCCGAACCGGCCGGCCGCGGAGGAGGCCGCCGAGGCCATTCCTCGCGGCGGCCTCCTAGCGCCTAGACGCGATTTTTGCAACCTTGCACATGGTACATATGCCTAAAGTGATCATTTTAATCCTTTTGGGACTATTTCTGTCACCAATATGTTACTTAATAAAGTGGCAGATTTGGTATTTTTGAGACTAAACTCGTCACTTTATGCATAACTTTGAGGTTGAAGATGACAACACATATAACTCAAGAACTAAGTCTGTATCGTATATGAGTATAACTGGAGACCAAAAATGCAATTTTTCTTATAGAGTTAATTCCATTGTTGGTCCTAGATTTATAGGTGACAGTCCACGTTTAGTCATTCTTTTTCAGAACATCCCTTTTGATCATAGTATTGTTGTGGTATGACATTTTTTGTATTCCGTCAACAAAATCGTTGAAACATCGTTAAATGTAAGGATATTTCGATCTTATTTATACAAAAGTGGGCTGACCCACTGTATTTTTATTCTTTGAAAAAAAATGTCATAATTAAAGACCTAAATGCCCTTGTATATATTCTACAGAATTTAAAAGATTTTGTTGATAGAAGACCAAAAATGGTCATACTACAATAATACTATGACCAAAAGAGATGTTTTGAAAAAGAATTAAAAGTGGACGGTCACTTATAAAACTAGGACAAAAATTGAAATAACTATTTTCCTATATATAATATTAATATAATATATAATATATAATAATAATAATAATAATAGTAATAATAATTAACATTCAATGATTATTACTGCGTATAATAAGATGCACTAAATTAAATGCAAAAGCTATTCTCTTCCACTTGACCATCAAATGAAGGGCAAATCGGAGTGTTTATCTGAAGGAGCTCTTCAATCATCTGAAGGGCAAGCCTTTCTTCCTCATCCATTCCGCCTCTGCCGCCATCCACCATCTCCGGCGGCTTCTTGGAAGAACAATCCATCCCTTCTACCCTCTCGCCATTGCCGCCGCCGCCGCCGCTGTTCTTCTTCTGCAGCTCGATGGTCATAACCCATTTGGAGTCGGAGGACTGACCGGCGCGTTTCTGCCACACTCCGATGTGGGAATTCTCGGTGTCGAGTCGCAGGCAGGTGAGGGATGGCGTGGGGACTTTGCTGCACCTTCTGAGCTTGGCGTGCAGGATTTCAGACAGAGCTTTTGATGATGATGATGATGATGATGATGATGATGATGGGATTATTGCCTCTTTTTGGTTGTTGGGTTCAGTCTTTGTAATTGGCTCGCCTTCTGAGTCGTGGGCTATTGGGAAATTGGTTTTTGCATTTCTTCCGCTCATCAAAATGGCGGCTTGATCATATGCCCTGGCCGCCTGTTCTGCTGTGTCAAATGTGCCCAACCACACTCTCCTTTTCCTGTCATCTAATATCATCAATTGCTATATCTAACTTCAATTCCGATAAAATATTTAGGAGGATATAAATTATGGTAACTCAGTGACTCAGCAGATAGGGTCAAATACTCGTGCCGACAAAGTATCTGTCCATTTAAGCATAATCTCAAATTCTAATGATACTGTCTACCGAATCAGTGAGTTAAGGTCGTACGTGCAACTTTATCTTTCTTTCGTGATACTTCTTGTAATGTCAACAACTATAATGTGATGTTGCTTGTGTTCGATCAACATATAATATATAAAACATAAATGTGTAGTCTAACTGTTAATTTAGATTTTTAGTTGAAACAAACACATTTTTTTAATTTGGTATCAAAACTAACCGATTTTGGTTGAAATCAAAACATCTTTCTACAATGCAAAATACGACTCTACTTTTTTGAGTATTTTTTCATGCAAATTCAACATGCAACATTGAGTCTATCAAAAAATCAAAACCTAATACTTAATTCTTAGTTATATTCGTTGTTATTGATTGGATGGAAAGAGGGTTACCTCCTAACGTTAATATCAATCATCACATGAGAAATAGTGCGTGTCAAACTTAGGATAACTTACTCAAGAACCATGCCAAAAGAAAATTTTGACAGGACCAATGTTTTCTTACTATTTTGAGGGAAAAAAATGTAATGTAAATTACTAAAAATGAAGTAGAGGGTAAGGAGCTTACAACAAAGGATGACGAATTTCAGACACCCAAGAACCCCAGTGGCGCTGCCTGACGCCTCTGAACTTCTTTGATTGCACCATTTTCAGGAAGGAGAAGGAGAAAACTTGGTAGGGCTTTGCAGAGAGGGAAAAAAGAATCAGAGTTAATGTGTTTGAAGGAGATGATGAATGGAGATAAAATCCTAGGACCCGATGATATTTAAACAATAGGAATACATAAATGTCGGCTAACTAAACTTGTACTGGAAACTGGGAGTTAGATCAGAGCAGCTCGGGCTCACGAGTCTATCACATTGTGTACAATAAATGCTTCGATTTGACTTGCAGTGCATTAGTTTTTTTTTTTTTTTTTTAATACAATTAACTCTATTACAAAGTAGTATTTGTTCTATACTTTCTCAAACTGCTGAAGACCAAAGAGTTAATACCCACCACTGGGGTTCGGTTCTATGACCTTCCCTCAAAGGGACCCATAGAGGGGCCATCTGAGCACAATGGTGTGTTTGATTGGTACATGAGAATCAGAATGAAAATGAAAATCAAACACTTTGTAATGGTATATGCTTTGGTGAAAATATTTTGCATGTTTGATAGTATGGTGAAATTAGAATAATTATCATTATTGATGTTTAGTTTTATTATTTATGTATGATCCTATAATGAGAATAAAGGATTTAAAAATACAAAAAAAAAAAAAAAAAAAAAAAAAAAAACTAACAATTGATCCTAATATAATACGAAGAATCATACTGAGAATTGGCTGCATTAGCCAGGGCATGGGCACACTAGTTCACTGATCTACCCATAAAACTGACAGAACTTGACTGTATGAGGCTAATAAGGTTTACACAATCATTTACAGGGCTTTTGGTTGGAGATGGAGAATTACGTGTGAAAGGAATTGTAATTCCACGGGGAACAAATTGCACTTTTGGTCCTGTGACTATTAGGGTACTGATAATTTTAGTACGTGACTTTCAAAACTCTCAATTTAAACCTTTAACTATGCAATTATTAGCATATTTGGTCCTGCCGGCCAATTTGTTGCCGGAATCTTTTAATCCATTTTAATTTTGTTAATTTGGGGGCAAATAAGTCATTTCCTTCTTCTTTCTTCTTCTTCATCCTTCTTCTTGGTTCTTTTACTCCTGGTTTGTGGATGATTCCGTAGCTTTTGGCAATATTCCGTCGCCGCCTTCTCTAACGGCGGCTTTGTCCCATCTCAGTTCGCTCAAGGCCAGACACATTCCATTCTGCATATATACACCTCTTCTTTTATTTATTTGTTTATTTTTATTATTGGGCAATCATTTAAATAAAAATGCTTAATCAGAACCGCACAATCGATTCGACCACGAGTCAATGCGAGTGAGCTCGAACCAAAACGAGCAGATCAAGTTTTTCCTAAAAATGAACCAAATAAGCCAAAACCCAGCAGGAAACTGAACTTTTACATAGCTAAAGAACAAATTCCTGGGCGCAATCAATTCTTCTTTTCAACCAATTTCAACTCCCACAGCCGAGTACCAACGAAGTCAACGTCAAAAATCACGAATAAATAACTAAATATATGTATCCTATCTTGGGGTGAAATTGAAGCTAGTGGTTGAAGATAACATCAAGACTTCCATAATAATGGCTTTCCATTCTGGAATCGAAGGAGCTGTGGTTAAAGGGATTAATATGATTGATGAGAGTTGTACTGTGTGTTTGTAGATTCTTCTCCGGCCGACCAATTGCTTCTGATTTAGCGCTTGAGACAAAAGGGGGAGGTGGTAGCATCCACCGTCAGCGCAACTTCCATCCGACACCTCCCGTCGTTACAAGAATCCGACGTCGGGATTTTCATGGGAGGGTCATTACAATCAAGGGCCAAAACTTTGGACTTCTCAAAACAGGACGAGTTCACCGCCGCCTAGCGACCGGATGAAATTTTCCCCCTTTTATTTTCCCTTGCAATGACCGTTTTACCCTCGTCAAAAAAAAATTCAAACCCAATTACATTTTTCCGGCCAAAATTGGCCGGCAATTTGGCCAGCAGGACCAAATCTGCTAATAATTGCATAGTTAAAGGTTTAAATTGAGAGTTTTGAAAGTCACGTACTCAAATTATCAGTACCTTAATAGTCACAAGACCAAAAGTGCAATTTGTTCTTCCACGGGAGATGAATTACTGAGAATAATGTGGAAATTTAAATTCTAGTGTTTGGTTTACAAGAATACAATTACTGGGAATTTCAATTACAGTGTTTGGTATACATGGGAATTGAAAGGGAATAAGTATTATAAAGTCCAAAATGTCCATTGTTGTTGTCAGGCATTAATTTTAGGTTAAAAAAGAGAGGGGTAATTTTGACTCATCACTACCTATTTTTCTTCCTAAAATCCTAGGAATTAAAATACCAGGGGGACATAGGATTTTAATTCCATGAAAATGGAGGAATTGCAATTCCTTTCAACCAAACAAGGGAATTTTGTGGCCTTTGGAATTATGTGAGAATTAAGTGGGAAGGGAATTTTAATTCCCTTCAACCAAACACCCGGTTAGGACTAGACTGACATAAGATAGAGTGGTTGAGACAAATGCTACTTAAAAGCCCTCCCAACTTGATTTTTTAAAATCAAATGATTACCCTTTAAGAATCAATTAATCATTCATCCATTATTCATTTTATTATTAAAGCATATAATATATCAAATTCATCATCTTAGTTAAGGGAATGCGAATCTATGTGTACCCAACAACTTAAATCAAAAGTAGATCATACTAAAATTATTAAGGACGAAACCTCACTTCGCTGTAAATTGAGAGATACAAATTGGAGTTCATGATAACTAAGTAATTAAGTCTACTCTATCTAATAGGACCCCCCTCCCCCGAAAAAAAAAAAAAAAAAAAAAAAAAAAAAAAACATTTCCCCCCCTCTTTTGCAAGGGAAATATTTAATTTATGGGACCCTACTCTATCTTTGTTGTTTCCTTCAATTCTTATATCACCCATCCAAAAATGTACTCTATTAGTTTTAGTCTTTGAAATATTGAATGAAAAAAATATTTGATACTGTTAGTGTATAGCACTTAAATATTCTTGATTGATGCATCAAATGTATTATAAAAAAATTATCTTCTCTTTTATATTGCAATTTTACAGTTTCTTTGTCAAGTATAACAAATTTAAAAACTGTTACAAAATTATTATATAATGATGTACTAACTTGGGTAACTAATTTAAGTTTAAGGTTAACTTAGAGTTAATTGATGGAGGCTTTGTCCGGTTTTTAGTAAAACCTAAGGCCTCCTAAGGTAATCTAAGAATGTCAATCTTTGGAACAAGCCATCTAAGTTAGTCCACACAAGGGGTCTAATCCAAACCTTCTGGTCTTTCTCTCATACATGCTTTCAACAGAATTCGAACCCCTACACTACCACCTCCCACCATAACCTTTATTTAAGTCAGACGACAAACCAACTACACTAAATTCCGGGGCACTCTTATTTCTATAAAAGTGTTGTAATAGGTTATTGGTAAGTGCATTAGAATTTAGGATTTAAGAGATTATTAAATTTTTGTATTTATCTATTAATTAGCTGTAAACTATTACTATTTAGTATTATATTTATTTATTACTCCGTATATTGGAACAAATATTATAAGTAAGGTCTAAGGTTATGTTTCTCTGCCCTTTAATACATATGAAAAAATTGAAGGTACTTTTAATGTATTTTATTTTGAATGAAAAGCAATTTTCTCCCTTTTTATAATTTTAGTAAAGCATATGGTAAAAATTTAGTAAATATAGACACACATAGGGATTAGGTCTAAAAGTAAACTACAATAATACTTAAAGATGAGTCTGCCATTGCATAATTGAGCATTTAATATTGTGAGGCGCCCAATAATCATATCAACTTGTACAATAATTATAGTAGATTATATTATGTTAATTGATTGATGTTAATTTCCACTTCCCCTCCAACTACAGTAAAGCACCAGATCGGGCCATCAATATTGTCCCATTTTGCTCTGCCTCGTAGTAGGGGCAACCATACTTATAAATCAATGCCTATAATTATTGTATGACAATGGTGTGAATTTTGCCTAAGCCATTGCATCCAAAACAAATCATAAATTTCTAATTGGTTAAAATGGATTTTAGGTTCATTCGTGGATTCTAGATGATTTATAGTTTTAGTGAGGGAGAGAGATCATGATGTATCGTTAAAAGTGCATTGTAAAATAGTTTCTAAAAACTAAGTCATGGTGAGAAAGTTAAAAGTGCAAGGGAACAACAGTCAAAAATGTCCATGATGGGTATTGTGCTATTGTTTTCATGCATCAAGTTAAGAAAATGAGTTGGTTGATCAAACTCTCTAAGTTAAGAATATACTACTTTTGATCTCAAAAAAGAAGAAGAAGAAGAAGAAGAAGAAGAAGAAGAAGAAGAAGAAAAGAATTAATGTCTTATTGTATATATCAACGTCGATTGTCTCAGTTTTGGTCTTGCAACTTTCTTAAGGTTTCTTGTTTAATGTTATCGTTAATGGTGAATAAAAAAAATAAATTAATGAATTGAAAGGCATAAAAGAGTATGATATAAATGTTAGTATACTATATACTTTCTAAAAGTGTACTATAACAAATATGTATAGAGGAAAAGTTAAAAGTGCATGGAGAAAAAGGTTTAAAATGCACACTTTGAATGATAAAAGTGCACTATAAAAAATAAAAAATATTCTAATACATTTTCAACATTCTTTTTTTTGAAAAGCTTTTATCATTCAAAACGTATATTTTTAACTTTCTCATTGTGCACTTTTAACTATTCTAATACATTTTCAACATTCTTACAGTGTACTTTTAACTATAACTAATGTACTTTTATTTTTATTTTTTTGCATTGTTCACTTTTATCTGTCTTATGGTGCATTTTGTTAAGAACTATTTTATGGTGAACTTTTTCTCATATACGATGGAAAATGTTATATATATATATATATATATATATATATATATATATATATATATATGTATACTTTTACCTAAGTGTATTTTTTAATTTTCCCTTAAAAATAACAATACTAGCTTGTAATCTCTGCCAATTGCTAAAACTTTAACATATTTACATTTTTGCCATCGTGTTTTAATTTATTGATGTAAAC